GTCAACAGACAGAAATTAGCAGTCACCTCACCAACCAAAAAAGGCATAAACCAAGAACTGGCCCTGTTCAATGGCACATGATTCTCGTCTCATTTACAAAAAAAAGGAAAAAAATGGAACAATCTTAGAGTTGAATCACCAGGGTTCTACGACACCTCTTTCTACTGCCTGTCAAGCAATCTTCGATGCTCCAACTGGTTCGCTAAAGCCAAAGCAGGGAATTGCCGCCTGTTGTCCCTGCTTAAAGAATAAGTTTTCATAGTTCAGGAAGTAAAGGAAGGAATTGGAGTTTACCCAAAACAACAGAATTGATGAGGCAGAACAATTCTCATTAAAAAGAACCTATACTTTAGTAGGCTTACAAGATTTACTTAGATCTGAGATCTAGTCTCAGTCCCTCCCCCATCTCTCCATCTCATCTTTTTCTCCTTGATCTTCCCTTCAAAATTAAATAATTTTTCATTAAACCGTGAACCACTGTCCGGGTCAAACGGCTTAGCAGTTCAACCACCCGGGTCAGCGATTCTCTGACCAAAGCAATGTTTTTCCCAAAAAAGCAGTTCAATCTAAAACCGGACCCGGAGATATGACCGTTGGGTCAAACAATCCAACCGTCAAGTCCACTTATCAAAACAATGACTAGTAGAAATTTTATTGCAAAACAGTATTTGGTGAGTCAGATAGTTCCTATCTAAAAGTTCTTACTCGTAATTTTTTATCGGGTGTCAATGTTCTCAATCGTAAATCCATGCTTGTTCAAAGTGTGACCTGTCTTAATTCAGTTGGAATGGTATATATTATATCTCTCAAAACAACATCATAAGAAAAACCTCCTAATTATCTTTCATTTATTTATTTATTATATATTGATTTAATTTTTATTTTTATTATTTTCTATTTTCATTCATTTGTTTCATTTTTTTTACTTTTTTTATATTTTATATTTTACATTTTTATTTCCCTATGTTCTTTTTACTTTTTGATTTCTATATACTTTTTTATTCCATTTTTTTTGTCTCCTCTTCATTAACCTATTCCCCTTATTCCCTATTTTGCACAGATATTCTAACTATCGAACAAACCACTCTGACTGATTAATCAGATTTGTTATTACCCGTTTTTTTGCTCCATCTTTCCTTCTTTCCATTTTGTACATCCATATATTTATTTTATTCTCCTTATTTATTTGTTTATTGTTTTTGTATTGCTATTATTATCATTTTTTTTTATTTTTTTTATTTTTTTTATTTTTGTTTCAGATCTATTCTGTTCACTGTAACCGGTGTTCCCCTCCCTTTCACTTTTCCACAAAGAAGCAGAGAGACCAAATCTACCCCGACTTACTTCCTTCCTCCTCTTCATTAAATTAATTTCAGCTGTCAATCTTTGTTTTCAAAAATAGAACTAAGCACCGGTAACTCGGAGTCTCACAATCGATCATCTCCAACTCTAGTGTTGAGTACTTCAAAGGAGCGAGTTCAGCGCAAGCTTCATCACCAGCTCCCTTGGCCTCCCTCCAGATCTCGTCACTCCACGGCCACAGACAAGAAGAAAACAGCAAAAGAAAAAGAACAAAGCAAGGAAAATAATAAAAAAAGCAGAACAAACCAAATTACCTTGTTCGATTTCAGTTTGCACTTAAACGATGGAACAGAGGAGGTCCGAGCTTATCGCGGTTTCTGGATATCTCCCTTCGCATGAGACTG